TGGGTGTTCACACAGACCTGACTGCAGCAGAGCAGCAAAACACTTGCGGGATAAAAAACAATTTTAACTAGAACATCCAATCCATATAATTTATTTTTTTAATAGTTTAGACAGTTACCAAAACTATGCGTGTTAATTTGAATTCTTTCTGGCTTAAATTCAAAAATTTTCTCCCAGTTCCCACTTTTTAATTGTTATTGACTGATACGGAAAACCCACCTACCCCTAAACAAAGCAATATAAAGAGATTTACTAATTTGAAACTCACAAGTCAAGAGGGTTGTAAAGTCAGGGATGTCTAGCCCTTAGTTATCTGACTCCTGCTCTGTGCATCTCTTGGGCTTTTGTGGAGATTGGTGTTTGTCAGCCTGTTACAATCAAGTGTTTGAGGAGCTTAAAGGATCACCAGCAAAGGTATCAGTAAAAAACAGATTTAATATTGAGCAACAGCATGATAGAGTTCATTGCAAGGTTCACTCCACTGCTTGCTAGATGATTAGGGCACACAGTGGAGTTGTTGCTGGTACTGAAGGAGATGGGAGTGGCTGGCCCAGCGAGGGTCAGTGTGGTCAGTCTGGTGTAGATGTGTGTTAAAAGAGCTTAAGGAAAAAACCTCTGAACAGAGCACTTGGTGTTTGTCAGTCTACACCTTTACCTGTGTGTCTGCAGATTTTCTACCCGGTGTAAGTTGTGCATTTTAAATCTCTAGCACTAAAACCTTTCTGTAAGAAAAAGGAAAGAAGGGAGATTTCATCTCAGTCCCCTTGATGTGTTCCCCAGATTGCTTGTGTTGTGGGTAGCTCACCCACATGCTCACCCACAAGATGCAGTCTGAGGGAAGAGAGAGGCAAGGGTCAGGCTGAGAAGAGGATGTTGGAATGTTAAGGAGAAGCAGAGGGCAAGATTTGGGTTTCCTGTGGCTCCAGGCAGCTCCCCCAGGCCTGCCTTCAGAGCAGCCTTTTCATCTCGCTGCCCTTCATGCTGCCCTTCAGTGGGACAGCTTCCCAAATAAGGCCTTGCTGACTTTCTGACCAAAATAGCGGCTGCGTGACAAAATGCAGCCCAGAGGAACGTAACCTTAATCCAGGCATCATTGTGTAGCAAGAGACAGGAATTCTGTGAGCTTCCACAGGTGTCAGGTTTGTTGTTGTGTGCTCCCTGCTCATGTGGTGGCTCTGCAGGGCACTGCCTGGACATTAGTGACCACCTGCTGCATGTGCTAACCCTGTGACACCTGTGTTCACAGCTCTCCTCTTTGTACAGTCACCCCAGCCCTGAAGGGGAAGCTGTGGGGGGGAGTTGGTGCTGACTCTGCCTCTGGGTGGGTCTCCATCCTCTTTCTCTGGCCTTGTGAAATCATGAGTTCTGTAGGTGAAGTGGGGTTGGAGATCCTTTTTGGGGGCATTACGTATACAGAGCCCAGGAGGGGGGACCAGCAGCTGTGGCCCACTTGAAACTATTCCTATTACACAGAGCTCTCTCATCTTTGACATTTGAAAACTGCAAAACTCTTGTGATGAAGTGTTTGGTATTCTGCAAAGAGCTCAAAAGCATCTCAATGCTTAACAACTGCTGTACATCAACTTATACATGTCATGCTTGCTGCTGCTGTATGTCATACTTGCTGCAGATTATTTCTCCCTTTTGCAATTAAGAGGACTCAGTATCAAGTTCCAGTTTGGCTCCTTTCTCTGCTTTGACTTAAAAAAGAAAAAAGGCAAAGGGCGTGTAACCAAATCCCAAATCATCTCGTTTGGCAATGGTGAGCCATTGCTGTGAAAGCCAAGAGCACAGAACTGGGGGGGGGGGGGAAATCAAAGCCCTGCAAAATGCTCTGATGGGGCAAGGTGTTCACTGGGGACATTGATGTTCACAGTGATGACCAAAAGTAGGGCTGGACACGTGTTGCTGTGTCCCCCTTTACTGCCTTTGAATAATGTGGTCAAAAAGAAGCAGTAACAGAACACGAGTTCTGCTTTGCCCAGGTTTCAAGGCTGTTGCAGGTGTTTCTACACCACAGGGGCTTTGGCTTGGTGAAGTGTTTATCTGATGTACCTTAGCTCATGTTACATTGCCCCTGCCCTGCTGGCAGATTTAGGCAGAAGTTTTATTAGGGCAGTGAATACCAAATCTCATCTGAGCTTCCTGCAGTCACTTGGTTCACACAGCAAAGTTTTATTGAGGGCTGAGGAGGGGCCCCAAATATGCTGATAAAGCTGCAAACCAGGGCAGGAGTTTAAATCTACAGCAAAGGCAAGCAGAGAAATGGCCTGAGAGCTGTGGCAGTGTCCAGTGGCATGGGCTGCTGTCACCTGCCTGCACAGCTCCCATCTCTGCTGGGGAGGTAAGAGCACACAGATCTAGGGACTATTTTAGACACTGATAAATTACTTTTTGCTTGATTTAGAAAAAGTTAATTGCTTTTTTTTCCCCAGACAATGTGGACTTGTGGCACATTGCTCAAATGTTTTTGGACACCAGAGGTTCACTACACGTGCACTGAAAACTGTGAACTGGTTTGGAGTTGCACAGATCCATGGATTCCTCAGGGTGGTTTTCATTCACTGTTAGCACATCCCTGTGTGGGGGCTCAGCCAGGCTGATCCTCCAGGGGCACTGTTTTTCCAGCCTGCTCACCCACTCTCTGGCCTGTCATGTCGTGTTACATTCCTCGTGCAGTTGTTCCCGTGTTTTAGCCAGCAGTGAATCCACCCACAGCTCCTCACCCTGCAGCATTTGCTGTCTGACTGGGAGGACAGGCACTGTGTTAAGACAGGCCAGCCTGGCAGCAGTTTTCCTGGCTTCCCAACCTCCTGTTCTAAGGAGGGAAAGCCTAAATAGTCCCAATGTATCTGCTTTTCTAGTGACAAGTTTTGGCTTCCACAAAACCTTTGTCTTCTCTCTCCTGCTTTACTCTTGGAAAAGGGTGGGCAGCAGGCGAGGCTGTGGCTTTCTGCTGCCAGTGCCATTGAGCCAAGGGGGAAGAGCCCAGACACAGGGGCCAGGTGGCTCTTCCCAGCCATCCTTTTCCCTGGGTCACAACACAGTCCAAGCCACCAAGATGACTGAAGGAAAGGGGTTAACCTTATTTTCTCTCTTGTTCACCTCCACGGAGCCAAAGCCTATCAGTAAGCAGTGAGGAATATTTTGAAGTCCTTTTTGGATGCTGGGATTTGGCCAGGACAGAGGAGGATAAGGGGGCTGTCAGTGGTGCCTGATGTGATGTGAGTGCAGGTGAGGGTTGCCCGTGGGGTGGGTGGCCATGGGTGTGGGGACAGCTGGCATCACCTCAGCTCCTGGCTGAACCCCAGCTCTTGGCAACTCTGGAGGCTCCCAGGCCTGGGGTAAAACATGAGGACATGCTGTGTCCTCACAGGTGGGAAACAACTGCTGCTGCTACACTGCAGAGGTGGAAAATGTTTCTTTTTCATCTCTCAGCTACAGATTAGCTGGAAACAGAATCTGTTAACACCTGGGAGCATTTCCTGTCACAGGGTTCTCAGACCCATATTTCCATTGCCTTCTGGTGCACCTGTAGTCCTGCTGAACCTGCAGTATCTATGGTATCAAGGGCTTGGATCCCTTGGAGAGACCCCTTTGAGTGGGTCAAAGAGATGTTTGCATTAGAGCTGTTTCCAAAATACTCTGGGTTTCTAGCTGACAGGTTAATTTTCCTAGTTTTTCTGTTGTTATAAGCCTTGGTTTAGCAAAATGTTTAGTGCTGCTTGTCCAGAGGAAAGACCCAGCCATGTCCTTGCAAGCAATCAACCACCTCTCTCATCCCTGTTTTCCCTGAACTGCAATATTTCATCATTGTTATAAATGAGATTGTGTCACAGCTGCTTTAGGGTGTTATTTCCACAGAAGTGGGGAAAAAATAAATCTGGTTTGGGGAGGAAAGGCAGAAGGAAAGTAGCAGAGCTGGAGCACTGGCCCAGCCCAGGGCTGAGGGCAGCACTGCCCGGGCTTGCACCTGGACTGTCCCGTGCCTGCCCTGCCAATGTTTGTTTTGCTTGGGTAAACGATTGACTTTAGCAACACGACTGCAATGTGGGAGTTGTGCTGGGGCTGTAATTCGATGGGAGGAGGCAGCTATGTGCAGGGAGAGCTGCTAATGCCACAGGAATGCTGCACTTCCTTGGGGTGAGAGGAGACACTGCTCTGGCTCCTTGGCCCTGTTGTCACCCTGTGCCTGGGAGCTGAGACCCAGAGTGGGCTTGTGCATTTCTCAGTGGCCCAGATCAATGTGATTTGACAGGGAAAATTAGGGGTCTCAATTTTTTGTAGTGAGGCTCCCACCCAGGGCTGCAGGGGGACTATGAGAGGCCGGTACCTGCCTCCCACCAGGCTGGGAGAGACAGGAAGGAGCATCCAGTCCAGCTCAGGAATGGCTTTTGTGTTTCCAAAGCAAACTGAGGTCTTCTTTGGACATTACAGGGTACCAATCAGGCTGGCAGGGAGGAGGAGGGGGTGTACCCTTGGCATAACCAGGGTGAGAGTAGGGAGGAGAGGGACTGTCCCTGGCACATGGATCTCAGTGGTGGCTGAAGGGGGTTTTAATTCATATTTCATTGCTAAAATGCTGCCAATGCTGCAGTTGAACCAGCAGGCACCAGTGCCAGCTCCCAAGCCTGCTCACCATGGGAAGGTTAGGAGATGGAACATGCAGCTCCCCACGAGCACCCATGGCTCTGTTGGATGGACTTTGCTGTTGGGCTGGCAGCACAATACCTCCTTGGAGGCCTGAAGCTCCATCTGTGATGTCACCTTGCCAGAAGTAGTCCCCAGCAGTGGTTTCATTAATCATGAGCACACAACAGGGGTGAAGCTGTCACTGAACCTCCAAGGAATGAGCAGCTGAGGCACTGGGTATTAACAGGTTTTATTTCCCCCTGGCCACCCTTCTCAGCACTCAGTCTTCATGCTGGTAGCCAGGGGACTGAGTCAAGGAGATGAGATGCAGAGCTGGAGGGTTTAGGAGATTCAAGCTGTCCATCTGGCCTCAGATTTATTCAACCCCCTTCATAAACTCCAGGAACTCTGCCAAGGGGAAGACATTGGAGACAAGAGGTGTGAGGTGAGACTGAAGTGCCCTCCCAGCTGTCAAGTGTGCTCTTGGCAGCTTTTCCCAGCCCTGTCTCCTGTTCCACCCTCACGACATGTGAGAGGCCAAGGGGGGGATGACTACTGCTCCTCTGACTGTGGCAAGGACTCCTTGTGACTCCTGCTGGAAATGTCACTGGAGCCCAGCATCACCCTCAGCTGCCACCACATGGCCTGGGCATCATTTTTTCAGCACCACATTCGAAGATACAGCCCTTCAGAAATGGTGCTGGTGTTAATGGGGGCAGGAGGGGACTGGTGAAAAGTGGCAGTGCTTCAGTGCAGCAAGGGCGCAGGTAAGGCAGCCCCAGGTCCTTGCTCCCATTTCACAAGTGTAAGAACCCCCCCATCCCTGTGCACATGCTCATGTCAGAGGTATTGCCCAGCACTGCCTGCATGAGCTGTGCTCATCCAAGACCAAGGGAGCTGCCCAGGGGCATGACCAAGGGCTTGTGACCAAACCACATGCAAGAAAGAGTCCTACCATCATAGTCAATCCTGCCATCATTGTTTTTATCCCCATCTTTCATCAGTTCCTCTATGTCATCCTCGGTGATGGTCTCTCCTGTTGCCTGCAGCATGATCTTCAGCTCCTCAAGGTCGATGTAGCCATCAGCGTTTCTGTGCCAGGACAGAAGAGCTCAGGACCAGACAGAGCTGCTGGGGAGGGGCCCAGGCTGGCTGCACCCTCCCACCACCCCACCCCACTGTGCTCATGGCTCTTACTTATCAAACATCCTGAAGAGGTCAGAGAGCTCCTCCTCGGTTTTTCCTTTGCTGTCATCTTTCATACACCGCACCATCATCACCAGGAACTCATCGAAGTCCACGGTGCCGCTGCCTGAGGGGAGAATGGACTGTCTGGGGCCAGCTGGCCAGCAATGGGACCCTGACTGAGCCCCACACTTCATGAGCAGCTCCACCAGACTGACCCACCCAGCTTCCCTGCACAGCCACATGAATTCAGAACCCCAAAACCTTAAGTCATGGTGTTAAACCTGTTATTGTTTAAGTTAAAAATCAAGACTGCCATCAGACAGTGTCTCTACAAGTCAAACTGGAAGAATATACAAGGTCTCATGCCTCAGTCTCTTCTCATACTGGGCTTGAGAAATGCAGGAAAGGGGAGCCCAGCTGGAGCCATCAGCTGGAGCTACAGGGGGTGGATGGGCAATGCCAATGAGGGATCACCCTTCCCTTCAGCAACCAAGGGCCAAAACTCAGGAGAGCAGCCCTGCAGCAAGAGTTAGCTCTCAGGATGCTGGAAAAAGTGACTTAGGCCTTTCTCTGACCTTGTAAGTGAATTTTTACCTTTCACAGTCATTTTGCCTTGGCAAAAGTCCTTCTGGCAGCACCAAAGGATGGAAGTTCCTGCTATGGAGATACCTGTCCATCTCTTTTAGGTATTAATATTGAAAGCTCCAGAAGGTATTCATGCAGTGTGCTTTTGCACTTGCACTACAGTAGTGTTGTTTTCAATTACTCAGATGCTTTCCTTTTTTGCCTGATTTTTAACTGCTTTTTTATTTTCCAGTTGCTTAGTGTGGTATTTCTGCCCAAATGCCCACAGTGGATTTTATATGTGATCATCAGTACACTGCTTGAATCAGTATTGACAGTTAGTTATGTGGGGGTGTGTACACTTGAGCAGTGAGAGACTTTCCTGATCAAATCCTCTAAGTGGCATTTCTGAAATGGCTGTTCCTACATTCAGCCTATATTTGGTTTTTTAAAAGGATCTGTACAATTTCACAGTGCCCCCCAAAATCAGTTCAAGCAGTCTTGATCGCTGTAGGAATAAAAATTTCTATAGTTCCTCTTTGCCTGGAAATTCCATAAAGGAGCCATGCTGAGGTCTGGTGGGTGTTTAGTGTCCTTTGAATTCACAGCAGGCTGCACCCCACAGCTGTGACTGTCCCCAGCACAGATCCTGCCAGCACTGCACAGATGGCCCCACACCCCCAGATGTGGGGATGGTTCCTGGAGAGTGGAAGAAACCCAAACTTCTCACCATCTTCATCCACCTCATCTATCATCTCCTGCAGCTCCTCAGGGGTGGGGTTCTGCCCCAGCATCCTCATCACCTTCCCCAGCTCCTTGGTGCTGATGCAGCCATCCTCTGCCCCCAGCACGAAGATGTCAAAGGCAGCCTTGAACTCTGGAGAGAGAGGGGACAGGAGAGGACAGGAGAGGTGAGGGGGGTCCTGCCCTGCAGGCAGGGGCTCATCCCAGGCACAGCCTCCCCTGACTGTGCACCCAGCACTGCCCAGCCATGGCCTGTGGGACACCAGAAACTGCCTTGCCAGCAATGCTGGTGGATCAAATCCCTGGGCCATGCCCTGCCTTGGCCAGTCTGGCCAAAGCATTTTCCAGAGTGTTCTTGGGAGGCAGGCAGGGTTGATGCCTGGGAGCTCCACTTCAGGCTGTGGTGTCAGGTTGAAGGTGCACCTACCATTTTTTTGCTCTTCTGTCAGCTGCTCAACCTGTAAGGAAAACACAGACACCAAGTCGATTTAATTTTGTCAGCATCACTAATTGCTAAAAGAACATGTTGTTTGTTCAACAGCCTTTGCCAGGGTCAACCAAACCTCACAAGAGGCAACCTCATGCATCAGGGAATGTACAAGCCAGAGGGTTTTGACACAGCAAGATTTTGGAGTCTAAGACATTCTCCCCTTTAAAAAAATTATTCACATCTCCTTTGAAGCAAACATAACTTCTCTAGAGGAGTAGATGCTAATACATGGCAGAAATAGCTTTTGTACAAGCAGGGAAAGCCCACTGGGAAAAGAATATGCCTCTGTCAACCATTTGGGGATAATTCTTGTTGTGGCAGGTTTCACTGCAGGATGGCTGCACTGCTGAGGGCTGCTCACATGTGGGCCAATGCCAGATCAGAATTGAGATGTGCTCTGGGGAGTTCCCTGGGGAGGGAGAGGTACACAAGACTATCCCTGGCAGTTGATTTTCAGGCCTAGATTCAGGGAACTGCTGCCCTATCCAGAGCTTAACTGCTCTGCTTCCACCTCAGCCAGGGTTCTTACAAAGGTGTCTGGCTCTGAAGGGAGTTGCTATTCCCTTTATTCTGTTTTGGGAATCTCTGAGGAATGGCCTGTGGAGCCAACAGGCATTAGCTGGCATAGGCTGGCAGACTGTTCCCAAACTCTGCCCTAATTCAATCCCCACAGACCATCAGTGGGAGTTTATTAGATAGCAAGAATTAATGAAAATAATCAATGAGGAGAGCAAAGGGGAATCAATCGGCTCTGTGCCATACCTGTTTAAGTGCCTTTCTCTCTTTGGCTTCATTCCAGGTCCTGCCTAGCTGAACTTGCTGCCCTCACCACCATGTCCAACTGCCCCTTTGGAAGCATCCATGAGAACATCAACTTTTCCTTCCTATGCTGGTCAACAGCCTCTCTATATCCAGCCAGGTAGAACCCCATGGCTGCCCTGTCTGACCCCACTAAAATCTCCTTGCTGCCACCCCCATGCCAGTGGCCCCAACACCCATCCCTGCCAGGTTTTGTCTGGGGCAGGACCCCACAACCCAGGTTGTGTCTTTGAGTGAAAGCTGATTCTTTTGCCCCAAAGGGCAATGGTTTTGCAAGAGCAAGCTGCTGGTTCTTCCTGCTTGCAGCAAGAGGCAGAGAAAGCACTTTTCCTTAGCAGGACAGAGCCTGTGGGGGCAGGCAGAGCATTTTATCCCACTCCCCATGCTCCAGGAGGTGAGGACTTGGCAGAAAGTACTAAGGATGGTGGCAGGATTTTTCTCCTCTGCTGGAGGAAAGCCAAACCCAGTGTGTTCCTGGTGCTGCTGAAGGCAGGCAGGCAGGCAGCTGCTGGCCCTCTGTCGACAGTTTTTGGGCAGAGCAAGGGCAGCCACCACCAGGATGGCCACAGCCAGTCCTGCTCTGTAACATGACACCCCTGGTGCTGTCGCTATTTATAAGCCTGGGGGGGGGAGAGGTGCTGGAGATAAAGATGAGCTCCCTGATTGTTCCCAGGCTTTGGTATTTATCCTTGCAGCCCTTTATCTGGACACTTGTCCCTGGCACTGTTCTAGGCACCGCTTAACAGAGCCTAAAAATATTCCCAAAATAGTTTTGTGTTTGCACACCCTTATCTAGGCATGAGTGGGTAAGATGAAAATCCATGGGGTTCTCTGGCTGTATGTAGAGGATTTGGCATAAATGCAATATTAATAGATGCTATCAGCATGCAGAAAATATACAACTATTCTGTTTTGAAGCCTCCTTGAGTATTGAAGTGATAGATGTGGTGTATATAAATTAAATGCATTGTAGCTATAGAGTGGCATTTTTGTCACAGAAATGTCTCTTGAGCTGTTCATAGTTTGCTCTGGATATGGGTGCTGTTGCTGCCTTATTCATCTTTTCTCTCCACATCATTGCAGGAACAGGTTTTTCTGCCTGCAGTGTGGGAAGGCAAGCTCTAAGCTCACAGCACTGCAGCAGCTGTGATAATGCCAGATCTGCTGTATTTTTCTTTTATCAGCTTCTCTCTCCATCCCATGGTTCCGTTTGAAGTCAGACAGATGAAGCTGAGATTCTTAATTTTTTCCACAGGTAAATGTTTGCTTTTCAGTCTAAATTTTGGGAATTAGATACACAAACAAGCTGTCTGTCTCAGCTGTGCCTGTCTTGGACTTGTTTTGCCTTTGTAAAGGTGTTGGGAGTTAATGCCCAGGACTCAAACCCTACATTTACCTAATTAATGGCCATGTGGTCCCTATACAATGAGGAAAGAGCCTGTGCCTTGAGTCACAGAGAGCTTATTTAATTAAAAACTCTAATTAGAAAGGCTTGGATTTCCTTTGATTTTACAGGTTCCATTTTTCTCCATTTTGAAGGTGTTGGTTGGGGGACTCAGCCTTTCCTGAACCTTTTCACACTATCAGGATCACTACAGGGGTTCCATTTCTGAGGTTCAAGGTTGACCAAAGGGCAGGAGATGTGTGAGCATTGGGGGTTTTTTCTTCAGTTACCTACCAAGGACTATATTTCTTCCCTCTAAAAACCTTGGCATAAAAATAAGACTGGTATGATGCATTTTTTGTGCTCTTGCTTAAAATCAAACTTGATTAGCTGTATATTTAAAGGGGGAAAAGCACCAAAACCCTCTTACTGTAAATCCAGTTATGGATGCAATAGCAATCCACACAATCCAGAATCTATTTTCATCCTTATTCCACTTGCACATCTCTGTCTGTCGGCATTACAGAACAATGCAGAGTTCTTATTACAGACCAAATAGTTTGGGTTTACACAGTGAGCACAGCCTGCAGCTGTGGAAGTTAAAATAGCCAAAGGATGCTCCACGTTCCCCAGGGCATAGCTCACATTCTGGATTCTGCACAGAGCAGGAGCAGCAAAGGAGAGCAGGAGGTTTGGAAAGAACTGAGAAAAAACCAAGGGTTTTTTAAAATCATCCTGAAAAATATTCAACTAAGGAGTGGGGGAACATAGCAATGGCAGAGTTGTAAAGCACCAGAAAGAAAAGGGTGAGTTTGAACCCATACAAATAATGTTTCTTTCCTGAGAAATCCTCCTCTGCTTTGTCTGGGCTAAAACCAAGAGCCATCTCTTATGCCATGCAGGTTTTGTTGAGATTTATAACTTCACCTAGGAGTCATCTCCCTGCTTTACAGCGGGGAACCAGGGGGTCATTGTAAGTAATTTAACAGCAGGTTGAGAGTTTCACACTTGTAAGAGGAGTGTGAAACTTCCAGAGCCATGAGAGGGAAAGTCAGTGTCCTGGATGAAGATGACCAAAAGTTGCTGCCCTATAATTATTTCTCATTTCCATTTCTCCACTGAATTATTGCCATCGCAGCTTTGGGGAACCTATAACGAAACTCCTTAGGTGCATTTCAGACCCAACAAAAATCCTTCGATCCATTTCAGACCCAACAAAAATCCTTAGATCCATTTCAGATCCCCTCCCCAGCCCAGCGCCCCAGGGGGAGCACTCACCGCTGCCTTGTAGATGTCATCCATGGCTGGGCAGGGTCTGTCGCTGTCGCTGTCACTGTGCCGGCGCTGCCGGGGGCAGGGCTGATATAGGGGCTGGGGCCGGCCCCGGCAGCCCCGCACGCCCGGCCCCCCAGGAATGCCCGGCCCGCGTGCCTGGGGACGGGGACACGGCCAGCCCGGCTCTGGCACGTCCGGAGCCAGCCCCAGCCCCAGCCCCGGCCCCGGCCCCAGCCCCGGCCCCAGCCCCGGCCCCGGCCCAGTCCCGGCCCCGGCCCCAGCCCCAGCCCCGGCCCCAGCCCCAGCCCCGGCCCCGGCCCCAGCCCCGGCCCCGGCCCCGGCCCCAGCCCCAGCCCCAGCCCCGGCCCAGTCCCGGCCCCGGCCCCAGCCCCGGCCCCAGCCCCGGCCCCAGCCCCGGCCCCAGCCCCAGCCCCGGCCCCGGCCCCAGCCCCGGCCCAGCCCCGGCCCCCTCGGCGGCAGCTGGAGCGCTCCTCGTGACTGTGTTGTGGGATCAAGGCACCACTTTTCAGCAAGACCCACCGAAATTGCTGATCTATTGAGGCTCTTGGCTGTCCTGGCTCTTGGAGCCGTGCCATGGTGTCACCTCCACCTCCAGAGTGTTCCCCCTGGGAGCTGCCTTAGAAAGATTATCCCGTGCCAAATAGGATTGGGTATTGCAGGAAAGGTACATGTCCCAAAATATCCCTGTCCAGTAGCAAATGTCCCCCGGGGTAGTGGGAACAGGGGGTGTCAGGGCCCCTGGTCCCCTCTGGGTGTCCCCAAATCCATGGGGACCTGCAGCTGGGGCTCTGGGGGAGCAGGGGGTGGATGTGTGAGAGCAGACCAGGAGCATGGGGGGAGTGTGCAGCCCCTTGCGATGGAGACACACACGGAGCTTTGCCCCAGGCTTCTGTTTTCAGCTAGGGCTGCAAAATGTGGGGACCAGCCACCAAAATGGGGGTATCAGCTCTGTTTGATTCCAGGGATAATTGCCAGTCCTTTGGGAAATCATGACTCACTTCACCCAGCCAGCTCGCTGACCCGTCCCCACTGCAAATAGCTCAAATCCACACCCCTGGATTGGCTGTGGATTTACCACAGATTTACACTGCCACGGTGGAGAGCAAAACACACCAAAGGCCTCCGAGGGATGAGCAGTTTTCTCAGTGCAGTGAGAAGTGTTTTAATCCACAGGAACCAAAGACAAACCTCTCTTTTTAAATGATTCAGGACTCCCTCTTGTGTCCAGAGGGGCTACAGATGGCTCTGGCACCATAGGGTGGCAAAGTCTCACCTCCAGCTGGCTCATGTGAGAATTAGTTTGCAAAACTAAAAATACAATTAATACAACCGTTATTTTTCTACTTTTCTACAAATCCTCCTTTAAGATGAATCATGCTGCATGGAAAACCTGCAGTCCCCATGGAATGCCCAAGCCAAAGCAGCATTAACCAGGAGGTGTCAGCACAAAGAGGAGAGGCAGGTGAGCACAAAGCCATCCCCACATCACACCCTGCCAGGTTTTGAGTCCTGAAGGATTAACTCACTGCAGAGGCTGATAGGAACTGTGGTCCTGTGGGCACCCAGGCTTCAGCCCAGCCCTGCCTCTGCTCAGCATAAAAAGGAAAATTGATACATTTAAGGAATTGATTTTTGAAGCAGTTAGTCTTCCTAATTTGAATGTATTTAATATTTTGGTTGCCTTTATCACAGGAACGTCAGAAAAAGCAGCAGAGGGAAGCAGTTATTTTGTTAAAGGGCACTGGAGCCTGTTCTTAGGGAGGGCACAGGCTGGGATGGGAGACCTGCTGTTCCCCAGAACCAAACCACCACCCAAATCCTCCTGGGCAACCCCAGAGAGACCTTCCCAAGGAAATGCTGCCCCGAGGCAAACCCCAGCCCCTGGCTGCTTCTGTGGCCTTGGGATTCACTGCAGAGACAGTGGGTGGCAGGTGCCAGCTCTGGGCACTACCAGGACAGGGGCTGAGGAATCCTGCCTGCCCTGTCCCTCCATCCTGGGAAGGGATGGCTCTGAGTCACCCTGAAAACAGCCCCTGGGATGCGTCAGAATGTATTTAGGGTCAATGTAGCACAGGAGGGGTGGCTCAACATTGCCTTTAAAAGGTCTGCTGGAGAGAGCTGGGGTGAAATTCAGGCTGGGATGTGGAGGAAGGGTCTCTGTGTGCTTAGGGAGGGGAGATCTGGACAACTGCCACCCTACACTGGCATGGGAAAGCTGCACATCTGAGACTTAGAGAGCAGAGCTGAGCCAGAGGAGAGGATGAAATCCCATCTGGCAGCAGGAGGAGGTGATGTTCCTGCCGGGGAAGGAGGCACAGGCGAGTGGCACAATGCCAGCCCTGCCTCCCTGCTGGCTGCCTGGAGACAGAGCTTCCAGCATCCCCTGGCTCTCCCAGGCTGTTTGCTTACAAAAGAACTGGGAATTGGGGTTTTGTAGGGAAACCCAGACCTCTGCCATGCACAGCACAGAGAGGGGCTGCTGCAGGTAGGGGGTGTTCTGAGGGAACCACCCTGTCCTGCTGAGCCCCATGGCAGAGGGAGGGTGGCTATCTATAGCCTGGGGAGGGCTGCCAGCACAGTGCCTTTAATCTGCCACGGCTGTCACTGGGGTCAGGCACAGCCTGTTAGCTCCAGCTGCATCCTCACATGCTGTCCCACTTGTCAGTTCCTCCAAGCTACCAAGACATCTGGGAAGCTTTACTGAGCTTTTCTCCTCCAAAACTTCATTTCAGGTTGTCACTTCCAAGCAGCTGTAACCCGCTGCAGAACTAGCAGAGGAATTCTGGAGGTCAATTGTAAGGAAATAAAAGGCAGAAGCCTAACTAAGTTGCAATTCTATTTGAGATTAGGGATGTTTGCAGGGCTGCTTTGGCTGTGTCATGGCTCCAAACTGCAGCAAAATGCTCCAGCATCCCTCTTCCCTGCCTTGGGCACCTGGCCCTGAGAGAGAGTCCAGACCCAGCAACAGCAAAATTCTTTAATTTACGGCTTCCTAAAGCCTACTCGGAATATTTTAGCTGAAGGAGCCCCCATTTCCCCCTTCCCCAGGCACATTGCTCTCTCCTCTGTGGGCCAGGACGGGGCTGTCACACCCTGAGCCACCGCTGTGCCTGCGGGCAGGAGCTGCTTCAGGAGGCGGGGACGGGCCCTGATCAAACCCGACAGCCGCGACAGGGCTGCAAATTTTTATTTAATTAAGGAGACAGGACATTCTGAGGAAGCTTAATTAAAGTTGCTCTGCAAACCCACTTATTATCTCATGAAGAGGCTGAGCCAGCAGCAGTTTCTGATGCTGGGGCAGCATTAGAAAATCCCTGTTGGGTTGCCTGTGCTCTCTGTGTTTTGTCCTTGTACACATCATCCTTTGGCTACATCCTGACCAAGGAAAAACATTTTTCAGTGAAACCCCTCCCCCAAAATGGTTTTTTCCAGTTCTGTTTGCAGAGGTGTGTTTGCTTATCTACCATTGCAGTCCTGGTGGCATCTGAGACACCAGCACTGCCCCTGCAGCCCCACACATCCAGCCAGGGCATTTGCACTCCTGTTGTAATTCATACTGAGCTAATTGCATCCTCTCTTAGGTAGCATAATGTAGGGCAGACAGATGTTGCTTTCATTTTACTGGATGGTACTTTTAAACAAAATCTCCTTGATTTGACAGTCCAAACCCTAATCCTTCTGTGTGTATATGTAGCACAGAGTTTATTTCAAAGCCTTGATGGATGCTTGATGCATCCTTCTGCCAAAACATAATCTTTCTAGATAACCTCTCAATTTTAATACACTCAGATACTTCTAAAGAAACTCATTATATCCTCTCTCCTGCAATTTTCTGTTCCTGGGGTGCACACTGAGCCTGTCAGAAAGGTTGCCATAGCATGACTTTCCCTCAGGGCAACTCAGGTTCAGCTCAGGGAAAAGGCTGAGGAGAGTTTGCTTGCCATCTTTTAGATTCTCCACTTCTGTTACAAATTCCTGGCAAGATCCTTCAGTGTGTACAGGCTTGAAACTCTTCCCATGCTCAGTGGGACAGTGGAAGTAAAGTCCATGCTGTCAGTAAATCACCCCAAACAACAACCCGAGTTCACCCTGGGCTCGTTCCTGAGTGAATCAGCCCAGGTCCTCAGCTCTGTTTTGGGGTGGTCAGCTCAGTCACAGAACCACTGGGGTGGCACCTCAGCCTGGTGTGACAGTGTCCAAGCCTCCAGCAGCCCTTGGTGGCCACAGATGTGCACCATGACCTGCCAGCAGCTGGAACAGTGTCACAGCCACAGCACTGGGAGGGGGCTCAGCCCTTGGCAGCTCCGCACTGCTGGGATTGCATCCCTCTGGATTGCACTGGATTGGGCTTGGTTGGAGTCACTGGATTGTACTGGATTGCATTGTATTGAATTGGACAGCATCGGATTGGGTTCTATTCCACAGGATTGCATTGGCCTGGATTCTATTCCATTGGCTTCCATTGGATTGGATTCCATTCCATTGCATTGCATTGGACTGGATTCCATTCCACTGACTTCCATTGGATTGCATTGGACTGGATTCTGTTCCATTGGATTGCATTGGATTGAATTCAATTCCATTGGATTCCACTGGATTGCTTTGGACTGGATTGGACTCTGTTGGCCTCCACTGGACTGGATTTGATTCCACTGGATTCCATTGGATTCCGTTGGACTCCGCTGGTCTCCATTGGACTGGATTGGATTCCGTTGGATTCTGCTGGACTCCATTGGATTCTGCTGCTTTCCATTGGGTTCCATTGGACTCCATTGGACTGGATTGGATTCCATTGGACTGGACTGGATTCCGCTGGACTCCATTGGATTCTGTTGGATTCCATTGGATTCCGTTGGACTCCATTGGATCGCACTGCACCGCACTGCGCGACGCCCCCCGGGCACAGCCAGCGCGCATGCGCGTCCGGATCGGCTAGACCCCCGCCCCCGCGGGCCATAGCCACGCCCCGACGGCACCACGCCCCGCCCCTGCACCGAGCACCGCCC